GGTGGGGGTGGTTCAAAGGAGATGCTTTGTATCCGGAAGATGGGAGTCATGGAATGTAATTCCAGGGGTTACGTGGGGCACAGGGTGGTACCAGAAGCTGGAGCTGCCCCTTTGGGTGCCCACCTCTGTCCCTGCCCCTCACACCATGAGGGGAAGCAGCTGCACTTCCCAGGGGGATTTCTTTAAAATTCCCCATTCCCCACCTGCAGGACAAACCTGAGCAACAGACAAAAAATCCGAGGGAGATGGAAAAAAATCCACAGGAGATGGAAGTGCTGGGAAGGTGAGAAGTGGGGATGTTGTGTTTTCCTCAGCTTCCAGGTTCAAATACCAGAATTCCAGAAGCATCTTCTTGAACATTGAAGATCGGCGGCTCGGAGTCAACGGAACCACTTTCTCTTCCATGAAAGAAAAAGCCTTTGGAAGGGGTTAGTGCCGCCAGCAGGGAATTTCCCAGCTCTCCCCATCCCCACAGAGAGGTTTGGATCACCAGGAGCAGGGAATTCATCACCTGGTGTGAGCAGCCAACGCGTTGATCACACACACACCCATCGCTCGGAGGCTCTTCCCAAACCGGCAAGGGTGGAAACATCGGGCACATTCCAAGCCCAGGGAAAGGAGGGGGGGAGGTTTCTTTACCTAAAACTTACATCATCTCCCAGCACAGGGGTTGGTATAGATTCATAAAGCAATCAGGGGAAAAAGCCACTGAGGAAATGTTCAGTGTAGGGCGTGGGGTCGGCTGCGGGAGGCACGTGATCCGTGGATGTTTGGAGCTCGGAGAAGACACGTGGGAATTCCACTTTTCCCCAGTTATCTGCCGGCTTGGGGCACGCCAGCCCCAAGTCTGGCTGCCAAAGGAACGTTGCCATGAACCACCCCTTAGCCCATCCCTTTGGAAAAATGAATTCCAAGCTCCCATCGGCGCTGCCCATCTCTGCCCTTGCCCTTGCCTGGGGCTGCCTGCTCTTCCCTGCCCGCGTGTTCCAGGGGGAAAAGTGCTCCCTAGGCCTCGCTCCAGCTTCTCCCTGGCTCATGGCAAGGCAAGGCAGGAGGAAGAGGATGATCTGCCTCCTTTCCATGGCAGCTCCTCCATTAAACAGGGCTGTAAGTCCTGGAAGCATCCAAAACCTGCCAGGTTATAGGGAAAACCCCAAGCCAAGCCCTCGGACTTGAAAACCAGGGAGAAAATGGGACAGAACGAAGGGATTATGGCTTGTTTTCCATGCTGGAACCCCAGCTGGGAGCACAGACTGGGAAAGTGGATGGGAAGGAAGGGTGGTGAGCCGTTGCAATGGATTTACTGGGATGGTGGAGAGGAAGGGGACTCCTGGAAACGAGCTGGCCCCTGGCTCTGTGCAGGAATCAGGGTGGATCAGCAGGAGCCGGCGAGGAGCTCGCCAAGCAAGGAATGTTGGAGGTGGGCTAGTGAACAGGGCTGGTGGCTCGTGCCAGCCAGGTCCAGATGGCAGGGGACTGGGGGAGCCCTGGGCTAAGGAGAGCTGTGCCCTGCCAGGAAGCTCAGAGACACCTCTAGGCTTCCCAACGGCCCTGGAGCAAACCCAGGCCTTGCTTTGGGGTGGTTTTTGCTGCCCCGAGGATGCTTCCAGTTCCCAGAGCCCAAAGTCCTCCTGCTTGGGTGACCTTTTGCTGGAGATGCCCCACGCACACTCAGGGCTGTCCCAGGGCTTCCCAAACTGCTCCTAGATACCTCCAGCAAAGCTTCCTGCAGATCTCAGGGATCAAAGAGAGAGAAAGGACCCAAAATCAAGGCAGAGCTGAGCCCTGAAACCCCCCCAGGGTGTCCATGTGTGGCACAGGGGGGGACCTGGATCCTGCAGGGATTTGGGACCTGGATCCTGCAGGGATTTGGGACCTGGATCCTGCAGGGATTTGGGACCTGGATCCTGCAGGGCTTTGGGACCTGGATCCTGCAG